CCGAATTCCATGGTCTGTTCAATCTAGGGTTGCCAGCTCTGGTTGGGAAGTTCCTGGAGACTTTGGGGGTGGATCCCTGGGAGGGCAGAATTTGCGGAAGTGAGAGGGACCTCAAGAGGGATGCAGAGCCCATCCTCCAAAGCAGCCATCTTCTCCAGAATGACTGATCTCCGTGGTCTGATGATCAGTTGTAATTCGGAGAAATCTCCAGGTTCCACCTGGAGGCTGGCACAGCTAGTTCAAGTGGAAAGGTCAACAGGCACCTTGTGATAGCTTCAGGCAGGGCTTTTTTTGTACAAAAAGCCCAGCAGGAACTCATTAGCATAATAGGCCACACTCAACAGCAGGAACTCATTAGCACATCAGGGAATTCCACAGTCTGTTCAATCTAGGGTTGCCAGCTCTGGTTGGGAAGTTCCTGGAGACTTTGGGGGTGGATCCCTGGGAGGGCAGAATTTTGTGGAAGTGGGAGGGACCTCAAGGGGGGTGCAGAGTCCGTCCTCCAAAGCAGCCATCTTCTCCCGAATGACTGATCTCCATGGTCTGATGATCAGTTGTAATTCCCCTGGAGGCTGGCACAGCTAGTTCATGTGGAAAGGTCAACAAGCACCTTGTGATAGCTTCAGGCAGGGCTCTTTTTTGTACAAAAAGCCCAGCAGGAACTAATTAGCATAATAGGCCACACCCAACAGCAGGAACTCATTAGCATATCAGGCCACACCCTGACACCACAGCTCATGAGCATATTAGGCCGCAGCTCCATGTTACCAGAAGTGTGGTCATCCAGCCACACCCACCTTTTGCTTCTTATTCTGTTTACCTTGTTTGTGGTCAAAACCCAGGGCCTTTTTTTGCAGCAGGGACTCCTTTGCATGTTAGGCCACACACCCCTAATGTAGCCAACCCTAATGAGTTCCTGCTGTTGGGTGTGGCCTGTTATGCTAATGAGTTCCTGCTGGGTGTGGCCAACTTGGGAGCCATCCGGAACTCCGTTCCTCAGCGTTCCTGCCCAAAAATAGCCCTGGCTTCAGGAGAAATTGTTGCTCAGCGGAAGAGCCTTTGCTTGGCATGCAGGAGGTCCCGGGTTCCATATCTGGCCTCTTCAGTTAAAAAGGATCTGGCAGTAGTGTGATGGGAAAGACCTCTGCTTGGGACCCTGGAGAGCTGCTGCCAGTCTGAGTAGGTAAGACTGAGACTGATGGTCTGATTCAGCATCAGGCAGCTTCTTGCACTCGTGTGTTTCTCCTGAATGGGACCACTCAAAGCAATAAGGGTCATTTGACCAGAAAGACAGCTCCTTTCCTACAGAGATGGAATGCAAGCAAGGGGTTCCAGGAGGCTGGGTGCTCTATAAGAACATCAGAAGAGCCCTGCTGGATCAGACCAGTGAGGGTCCATCAAATCCAGCCTCCTGTCTCACACAGTGATCAACCAATTCCTCTGGAGGGCCAACAACAGGGCAGAGAGGCCGAGGCCTTCCCCTGATAGGAACATCAGAAGAGCCCTGCTGGATCAGACCAGTGAGGGTCCATCTAGTCCAGCCTCCCACCTCACACAGGGGCCAGCCAGTTCCTCTGGAGGGCCAACAGCAGGGCAGAGAGGCCGAGGCCTTCCCCTGATAGGAACATCAGAAGAGCCCTGCTGGATCAGACCAGTGAGGGTCCATCTAGTCCAGCCTCCCACCTCACACAGGGGCCAGCCAGTTCCTCTGGAGGGCCAACAACAGGGCATGGAGGCCGAGGCCTTCCCCTGAGAAGAACATCAGAAGAGCTCTGCTGGATCAGACCAGTGGACCATGCAGTCCACATCCTGTCTCACACATTGGCCAGCTAGTTCCTCTGGAGGGCCAACAACAGGGCAGAGAGGACGAGGCCTTCCCCTGAGAAGAGCATCAGAAGAGTCCTGCTGGATCAGGCCAGTAAGGGTCCATCTAGTTTAGCATCCTGTCTCACACCTTGGCCAACCAGTTCCTCTGGAGGGCCAACAACAGGGCAGAGAGGCCGAGGCCTTCCCTTGAGAAGAACATCAGAAGAGCTCTGCTGGATCAGACCAGTGGACTTTCCAGTCCACATCCTGTCTCACACAGTGGCCAGCTAGTTCCTCTGAAGGGCCAACAACAGGGCATAGAGGCCGAGGCCTTCCCCTGATGTTGCCTCTGGGCACTGGGTCTCAGAAGCTTAATGCTTTGGAATATGGAGGTTCCCCACAGTCACCGTGGCTAGTAGCCCTTGACCGACTTATCCTCCATGAATCTGTCTAATCCCCTTTGAAACTGTTTATTCTTGTGGCCATCACTACCTCCTCTGGACACTGGATAGAGAGCACAAGAGGACCTGTGAGTTTCATGGTGTGTTTAATGTCTCTGAAGGACAGATCCTAGATAAGACACCCAACAAGCTGACAGTTGTTGCAATGAGCTCATCCGTAATGTGCCCCCTCTGGGTACACCTGCAGGCACCAGCCCTACAAAGGTCTCCACCACAGAGATCGGACCATGTGGGAAAAGGCTTTTCAACACCTGCTGTTTCAGTGGCTTGGCCATGCTATCGAGGCCAAGCATGGAAGAGGACGTTCTGCCCCAGAACACTGTTTTATTGCTCTAGGTTAAAAAGCCAGTTTGGTGTAGTGGTTAGGAATGTGGACTCTAATCTGGGAGAACCGGGTTCGAGTCCCCACTCCTCCACATGCAGCTGCTGGTGTGACTTTGGGTCAGTTACAAGTTCTTTCAGAGCTGTTCTCTCACGTGAAGTCCTCGAAAGAGCTCTCTCAGCCCCACCTACCTCACAGGGTGTCTGCCATGGGGAGGGGAAGGGAAAGGAGATTGTAAGGCGCTCTGAGACTCCTTCGGGTAGTGAAGGGCGGGGTATAAACCCAATCGTGAGCTCTTCCTAGGTTAAATGGGAAGGATTTTACTACAAACCGGTGTTCCCTCTAAGCTGAGTCAGTGTGAGCTAGCTCACAGTTTTTTAGCCTCCGGCTCACTCATTTTTGTCTGAGCTCAGGAAGGATGGGGCTCCAGAGCAAACTAATTTATGCAGTAGCCAAATCGCTCGCTCACAACTTTAACGGCAGTAGCTCACACGGTAGAATTTTTGCTCACAAGTCCCCACAGCTTAGAGGGATCAGTGCTACAAACGATGGCCTGTGGGTGAAAAGGAGCAAACTGCAAATACTTTAGTCATCTGGGGAGAGAGCGCACAGGATTTGTGCGAGGCCTCTGCAAAACGCTCGTCTGAAGAGGCCCCGCTGATCAGAAGCCTGGCCTGAGCATTTGCACTGTGCACAGAAAGAAGAGCATCTAGTTCTCTCCTGCCACCATTTCCTTGTCATGCACTCGGATGACTTCGCCCATGGTAAGGTAAAGGTAAAGGTTCCCTTGCTCGAAAGCCTGTCGAATCCGACTCTAGGGTTCCGGTGCTCATCTCCATTTCAAAGCCGAAGAGCCAGCGCTGTCCGAAGACGTTTCCGTGGTCATGTGGCCGGCATGACTAAACACCAAGGCGCACGGAACGCTGTTATCTTCCCACCGAAGTGGTACCTATTTATCTACTTGCAATTTCTTGCTTTCGAACTGCTAGGTTGGCAGGAGCTGGAACTAGAGACAGGAGCTCACCCCGTCTTGCGGCACCCGGGTCTTGAACTGCTGAACTACTGACCTTCCACAGCCTGCAGTTCAGCAACTTAACCACTTGAGCCACATGGTACAGAAAGCCAAAAGATATGGCCTTCAGTGTTCCCTCTAAGCTGAGTTAGTGTGAGCCAGCTCACAGTTTCCTAGCCTCCAGCTCACACACTTTTGTCTTCGCTCAGGAAGGATGGCCCTAGAGCAAACTGATTTATGCAGGAGCCGAATCGCTCGCTCACCACTTGAATGCCAGTTGCTCACAAAGTAGGATTTTTGCTCACAAGACTCCACAGCTTAGAGGGAGCGTTGATGGCCTCCCATCCTTCCCGTAACTGTGAACTGATGTGGTTCAAAAAATCAACACGGGATGCTAAGGCGCGGCTGCCTTCCATCTCCATGCACCTCATGAGGGGACTGTCCGTTTGGTACCCACTATGTTGTCTAGCTAACCAGGCCACTGCTGTGATCCTGCTCCCTGCGGGGGAAAGGTCTGCTCAACACAAGCAGAACCGAGAACCTCTCCTGGCCTTCATAATTCGCTCAAGACTGTGAGGCAGTTTGTATACATCGGATGCACGTGTGTGTGGTTGTGTACTGGCGTGGGGTCTCCCACGCCGCCTAAGAGGCATGCCACCCAAGTGCCACCCCACCCCCACCCTCTCCCTGCCCCGTCCCACGGCAAATGTGCAGTTTGGGTTGTCACTTCCGATTTATATGTTACATGGCGCGACATCAACCCGTTCGGGGGGGGGGGAAGAGTCCGGTCATTTCACAGCAGCGGAGAGCTGTCCACCCATCCCTCCAGTTCCCATGAGGAGTCAAATGAGGGTCTCTGAGGAAAAGAAGCGCACCGCCTCTTGTTAATTCTATACACAGAGACTCAGCGGCAGGAACACAGCGCTACAGATTGAGCCAGAACGTAAAGAATCACTGCGTTAGAAGCCGCCATCCGTGCTCGTATGCGTGAGTAGGCCATGTTTTTGGGAAGACGCACAACTTTCAAAGGACACTTGAGCAGGAGTCTTGCCACGTGGGTCAAGAGAGGAAAGAGCGGAGGCGCCGGAACTTTCCGGAAGCCCTCTGGCTCTCCATATCCAGGTCTGTGTTGTTGAATAGTCAAAGGAACCGCAGTCTCGTGCAGGGAGGAAGGTCGAACGGTTCACGTGCCTGTTTCTTGGCTCGTCAGGAGTTCCACGTCACAAGGCCCGCCTCCAAGCGAGAGAGCCGAGAACAAATCAGACCTATTCTAGCCGACCCCTTTTTGCCTCGGTTTCGTTTGCGTCTGTTTGATCCCGTTTAGTCTCAAGAAGCCGACTTCCCCCACAAAAAGAAGTTGTCTCTGGTCTGTTTCCCTTGGATGGAGGACACCCAGTTTTTACTTGCACGTGTGAACGTCGTAGACCCGTGTGCACTCCTGACAGCTGACGTAGCAACACCAGTGGAAAATGCAGTGACACTTCTCCTTCCTCTTCTCAGTCCGGGTGTTGTGCCCACGCCCACAGCACAAGAGGTCACAACCGTCTATCCCGTGCGAGCTGACATTGCAGATCCTGTCACGGGTGCCAAAGGAGCCGGTTTCGGGGTTCGGCTCGCAGAAGTTGGGCGAGTTCTCATAGTAGACCAGGTCTCTCTCGGTCGGCGCTTTGAAGAAGTTGTATTTGGGCCGGAGCGTCTCTACCCAGCCGCGGGATTCCCTGTGCTTCTCCACCACCATTTCCGAAGCGCTGTCGTACTTGTCTTTCAGGTAGTCGCCGATGACTCGGAAGTCCGGCTGGGACCACCAACAGGTTTTCACCTCGCAGCTACCGGACAATCCGTGGCACTTGCACTTGAGGTGCATGTGGTCGATAATGGACTGGAAAAGAAAGGGAAAAATAAGTGGGGGAGAGAAGAGCAAAAGGAGAGAAGACATTAGCCATGTGAGCAGGGGTCATTTCCTGCAGGAGCGCACAGGAGCGGAGCTCCGGCAGTAAAGAGCCCAGTGGGCGGGCACATGCAACAAGCCCCACCCCCTACTCCCAGCAGCCCTCAGTCAGAGCAAGAAGCAGCCAGGTAAGTTGCAGAGCTCCCCCCGGCCCCTCGGCCCAAAACAGTCCAGTGGCACCTTTAAGACCAAGTTTTATTCAGGTACAAGCTCTCCCTCCTCTGCGAGGACAGATCTACACGTTCCCCCCACCCCACAATAGCTAGCAATCCAAAACAGTCCAGTGGCACCTTTAAGACCAAGTTTTATTCAGGTACAAGCTCTCCCTCCTCTGCGAGGACAGATCTGCATGTTCCCCCCACCCCCCAATAGCTAGTGATCCAAAACAGTCCAGTGGAGCCTGAGCGGTGGGTATTGCCTTCTGACACACTTCCGGTGATGTCAGGGGTGTGTGGCCTATGCAAAAAAGTTATGCTAATGAGTTATGCTAATGAGCTCCTGCACTTCTTTTTCTAGGAAATGATCCCTGCATGTGAGGAATCATGAAACCTGACACTTTTATATCCCTAGACAAGCATGGTGTAGTGCAGGGGTGGGCCAAACTTGCTTAATGTGAAAGCCACACAGAATAAGCATCAGATGTTTGAGAGCCACAAGACATGAACAAATATTACACACACGTTTTTATTGGGAAAATATGCAAATTTGCTTTTTATTAACGTTAAATTAGACGGTGTGAAAGAGCTGCACGCGGCTCCCGAACTGCAGTTTGGCCACCCCTGGGGTGTGGATAAGATTGGTGGACTCTAATTTGGAGAAGCGGGTTTGGTTCCCCACTCCTCTTCCACGTGAAGCCTGCTGGGTGACCTTGGGCCAGTCCCAGTTCTCTCAGAACTCTCTCAGCCCCACCTGCCTCACAGGGTGTCTGTGGTGGGGAGAGGAAGGGAAGGTGATTGTAAGCCGCTCTGAGACTCCTTAAGGGAGAGAAAAGTGGACTATTAAAACCAACTCCTCCTCCTCCTTCTTCTTCTTCTTCTCCTCTTCCTCCTCCTCCTCCTCCTCCTCCCTCCCTCCCTCCTTCCCTCCCTCCTTCCCTCTTTCCTTCCTTCCTTCCTTCCTTCCTTCCTTCCTTCCTTCCTTCCTTCCTTCCTTCCTTCCTTCCTGTAATGTACTGTCGCCATTACCACGTGTAGTGCATTCAGCCTGACATGCCCGGACTTGCCCGGGCTGGCCAGGCAATATTCCTCAGTAGCTTCAGTCGAAAGACAAAGGATCCATAGGATCCTAGCCGGCCCAATCAAAGGGCCAGCTTCCCAGCCGGGAGACCAATGGTCGCCCGGTTACTGTAAATAGCCTATCGGGAGTAGGGGGTGTGTTTAGGTGTGCTTGGTGGCGGGTTTTCTGAACGCATATAAACCGGCCTGCGAGCTGGTTTCTTTGTCTTGTTCCTGATCAAATAAAG